GTCTTATCAGCGTGACTAATGACCTTACATTTGAATATGTGAATTTGTGAATACCACAAATCATCCAGTGCACAGAAAGAAAAAAACCTCAATCAAGCGTAAAGTTCAAAAGGTTTCTATGTTCACACACAACGGTTTGTGCTTTTGTAAAGATGTGCAGAGTATTAAAATACAATAATCGTATTATGAATTAAAGTTAATAGTTTTTATTCGTCAAATAAACATATCAGTATTGTGCTCAGAAGTGTACCATGTTAGAGCCTGATGAACCAATGCAGACTCTGAGGAGCACAGGGACCGGTCTCCTGCTGGGACTCTGAGGAGCACAGGGACTGGCCTCCGGATGGGACTCTGAGGAGCACAGGGACTGGTCTCCTGCTGGGACTCTGAGGAGCACAGGGACTGGCCTCCGGATGGGACTCTGAGGAGCACAGGGACTGGTCTCCTGCTGGGACTCTGAGGAGCACAGGGAATAGCCTCCGGATGGGACTCTGAGGAGCACAGGGACTGGTCTCCTGGTGGACTCTGAGGAGCACAGGGACTGGCCTCCTGGTGGACTCTGAGGAGCACAGGGACTGGCCTCCTGCTGGTGCCAGAACTACACATGGTAATATCTGTCTATTTTCAAATTTTATGATAATTAAATTTAGTTCTTATATTTTGCTGTGTTCATTTATTTAAGATAATTTTGCATTAATTATTGCTAATTATTAGCTAATTGTTAATTATTGCTTTTGGACATATGTTTTTACCAGCATGAGGAGAGGCAGCAGTTTGCATGTTTGCCTTTTGCTTGGTCACTAAAAATTTTTATTTGGACATTTTGTTTCCTCTAACCTGCGTAAAGTGGTCTTTTGATTTGTTTCGGTTTCAGTTGGACATGGTTTTAGTTATGGACAAATCGACTGGTCACACATGGGGAGACAAACTGGATGTGTACATACAACTGAAGGATTTTATCTTCACACTTTTGAATGTTCTGTGACTCTTTGTGATTTGAATGTTTGACACTTTGCGTTGCTTTGTGTATGAGCTGTGCTTGCCTTGCCTTACCAGTGTTCATGATGTGAGGTTTGAACATATGGATTACTTCTCTTCATAGTAAATGTGACCTTTGATGATCCATAATGACCTCAGGAAAGGATCGATCTATAGGCACTGTGTCAAACACCTTCACACAGAAAAAACATGTGTGAATAAATCATGATGAAGACAATTTAATTACATAGTTCACTTCATGCTAGCCCATCTTGCATCATATCTGTATTCATATCTGTTTGTGTTGTGATTGCACAGAAGTGGCCTATTTTCTAAACATTTTTGATTCACATTTATTTGACTAATGACTCCTCTGGCTATACCCCAGAAAAGCCACTTTGCTCAAGCTGTTATGCTCTGAATTAGTCTTCATTTTTGTTTGCATTCCAGTTGTTTATTTATTCAATACATGCATGAGATATACAAACAATTATTCAAAAAAGAAATAAATAATAAAAGCAATCACAAATACCTGTGCTTGTTTTGAAAAGGAATTGGATGAAACTACATTGCATTTGATATTGAAACTATTTTTAATGTATGTACTTGTCTTGTGCACACTGCAGTACTTTTGCACACGTATTCCAATGTGGTTTTACTGCAAAAAGCAAATAAACTGAATCTGAATTTACAAAGGCTCTCTCTCTTTGTTTATGAGTTCACATACAGAGCGTTATGGAGCACCAGACACTGAAGCGTCATGTATAATGTAGCTTGCGTAAACTCTCACCTTACAGCATTAAGGGCCCTGTTCTCATCAACCGCACACAACACACACAAAGTAGTCGAATCTTCCTGCTGAATTCGACTGAATCACTACGCTTTCCAAGTTTACCCAAAAGGCTTTCAAGGAACAGCCAAAATCAGAGAACCCCCCTCCAGCAAAAATTAAGTTTCAATCACATAATAAAATATGTATTGGTTCAAGGGTCAATATTATTGTCCCCGAAGATAAATTTGTCTTATTCTCACTGTGCTGTTGGACACAAACATACAAGACACACACAACATCAGGACAATCTGAGTCTGCACAATTCTCAACACAGGAATATGCCATAATATTGCACAGTCCAATCTGTGTAGGGAAACAAACCCACAGTCAAAAACAGTATTACAATGAAGATTTACAGATCCTTTACTTGTCCCACACTGGGTCAAGTTCAGTGTTGCATCACCAGTTTCAGAACAGTATAAGAATGAGCACACAGCACAAGGCAAATTAACACAGCTCTATACTAAACTCTATACTAAATATAATACCATAAAATAACATCTCTAGCTTTAGCATAATAAGGAAGCAGTCTTTAATCTATAATAATAAGCAAGAATTAAGTACAAAATCTCTGACTGTAAAGTATCTATCTATCTATCATAAAAAGTATCGATCTATATAAAGAAGTATAAATATATATCTATAATAAAGAAGCAAGTATAAATCCTCTATATTCCACATAATAATATATTTACACACATCCTACAGAATGTTGCCATGTCATCAATTGCCACCCAAAACAAATGTGTGGTTTAGAGGAAACAAATATGTAAATCTGGGTATAGATGAAACTCAATACAAATGACAAAAACATCTCACGGATATCTTAGGCGGTTCTGTGTAATCACAACTGTTACAAACTGTACCGTCCTAATCCCATGTCCACAAATCCTCACATTTCCTCTTGTTTCCAGGTATTAGTTCTAGTTGCGTAAAACCTTGAAGTGTATCAATGTATTTTTCTGCATTGCAAAGATCTTATCACATCTGGGAAGTCACGTGATATAAGAAAACAAACAAAAAAATCTAACTGCACAAAGAGGAAAACAGTATTAAGTGAAGAAAAACTTTTAATAAAATATCCAAAAACAATGTCAAAACATGTGGACTTCTTTTGCCCACAACAACACACTCTCCCCTCCCTCTTCTTCAAGGCCTTCCCTTGCTTGGCTCGGGACAATAGGGGCCAGGGTGAAATACTGTGAAAGGGTTAAATGGTAGGGGTGGTCTGAGGTCCGAAAAGGGGTAGTGGCATGCCCCTGCAAAGTGAAAAATAAAAGACGTGGGCTTCTTACAATTGAAGTTATTTGACGATGGAAAGGATGGGGGTTGTAGCGCAGGGATGATGTCATTCTAAGTTGAGGTGCATTGAGTCTGTAAGCAGAAGTATAAGAGCATTGGGTGCACAGCAGGGGGCATGTGACTGCTTCAACCTGATTTGCCTGAATGAACATGACACAATAATCCAAGTTGGAAACAAAACAAATCTTCCAAGCCAACGTAATGCACCACAGAAGTTAACCAGCGTTTGTAATGGTGTCTATGCTTTTCATTTATGATACTGATACTGTATTAGTATTAGATACTGTATCAGTTAGGAGAGGATCTTACTAACTTACTAAACACAGCTCCTTTTTTTGTTTCCAAATGTTTTGGAAAGAATTCTTATTAGCCAGAGATGACTGCATATAAGTTCTGAATACATTCTAAAAAAAAAACAAAAACTCTAAACTCTAAATGAATGATATTTTGATATACAATAAAATTACACCACACCACAACACTGACCTGTGTCAAATCCATCGGGTGTCTTCACTAACTGAATTTCTTTCACATACTGTACGACCCACTTGTGCCTGTGGTCTTGATTTAAAAAAAAGTTATCCTTTTTTAGGGATCACTGTGTTATATGTGTTGGTAACACTCCAACACATATTACACAGAGCTTAAATGTATCCACATATGGGAATTGTTATGTTTAATGTGGAAATATATGAAATATGGAGTATGTCAGTAAATCCATGTAACGCCAAAACTGTTTGGTTCCAGCTCTATTGGCACTTTGGCTGCCAGTCCTCAGCCAAAGTCGATGTCAACAGGTTTTCTTTAATGTTGTTTGATTTGTCCACAGAAAGTAATGATAATAAATAATTTCAACCCAACCCAATCCAATTGCATTTGTAATTGCACAGCCATAATTCACTCGCCTGACATCGGTGTTAGACACATCGTGATTTCGTGGAAAACTATAATGATTTGATCGTTATAGAAGTTATTTGATCGTTGGCCAACTTTTCAGTTCCTGACTTGAATCTCTGATTCAGCCATAAATGTTCAGTGTCAGCGTAAATGGCGAGTCAAATTATAGACAGTATGTTTCTCACCGACATGAGACTGTCACTACAGGTTCTAGCGCCATCTTCTGGTCAGTTCGTGTTGTGTACGCCCGATCAAACTTAATATAATTTATTGTCTATGGATGAAACTCATGTAGCTCATGTACCTTGTCAGTCTGTAAGTGAATGCAAAGGTTATAAGGTGAATCTGTTGATGCCTAATTATGACGAATGTTATTTTTGGCCCTTTCCGTTTGTAAAAATCCTCACATTCATGCTGAAAGCATTTACAACACATTGTCTTAGACTCGTTTAAAAACAGTTCAAAGTGGTGAATGTGAAAAGTGTGTTTATAACACAATAAATATGGACCTAACAGTAATAAATAGGAACCTAACAGTGGAATAGATGGAGAGATCCAAATGTCATTGTCTGGCGCCATCTGCTGTCCTAGTGTAAATTGCACTAGGAGCAGTTCTGGGTCAATGCTGTGGGTAAAGTGTCCAATCACATGATCTGATGCAGCTTTAGCAGTATTCAGGAGAAAGTGGCTCATTGTGAACTCACAGGCGCTGGCACAAAGTCTACCGCATCAAAGAAAACATAGCGTTGGGTCTAATATCAGTGTATACGCAGTACACGCAGTACACGCAGTACACATTGAACACACGCAGTACGTGCAGACGACGCATGAGAGGAGGGTGGTTGCGCGCTCTGACCCTGGATGCGTCACTTCGGGGGCGGGGAAACCGGCGTTAGGATCGTGCGTTGGTAGTTGCGGTATCTCTGTGCCCATCACCCATCACCACCGGACCCGTGTTTGTTTCGAGCCTGTACAACATCTTACAGCTGCAATGGGGAACCTGGCGCTGTGCACCTGGTAATTATTCCAATGTGTTTTGTTTTTGTGTTTGGTGACCAGACCTTTGGCTGTTGCTGTGCCCGCAGCTCATGACTGTAGGAGGATGATGTGGGTCAAGTGCCCACTGCCCCATTGTGTTTACCCCTGTGACGTACACAGCCATTCCTCGCCCTTTAATATATTTTCTGTCTGTTTTCAATAGTGTATTTTCTGTTACTGTAATTGAGTTTAAACCTACTTTTTAAAAACTGGATAAAGCTTAATTCAGAAAATTTTATTTAGAAATTGTGTAGCCTATATTTATAAACAATATTAGTATTGGCTTGAGCATAGCATCTCTTCTCCACATAAAGATGGGAGATATGTTACTAAACTACAATATACACAATGGAAAATAAAAAGTTCCTGAAGACAAACTTAAAAATATGTACTGATAAAAAATGCTTGTAAAATAGTTCTGGTATCTACTGTTCTATACTGTAAGTGGTGCATTACTTTAGCCTATATATACAGTGAGCATCTATTTTGTCGGCCATAACCATACTTTTACTTTGCCCTACACATCCTCACACCAATTTTTTATTTGTATTCCAGCCCTTCTAAGGCGGACTTGCCAGGCCTGGTCAAAGAGGAGAGATTTGTCATACAACGCATCACTAAAGGGATCACCTACTACTACACTCCTGTTACAGCGGCTTATCCCAGTGCCACCAAATACTACCAGAATTCCACATCATCTGTAACATCTGCAAATGACACCACTACATGCACTCGTCCTCTGCTGGTTTTCTTCTCTTGGCTCGGTGCACAGCCTGGACCTGTTGCAAAGTACAGAGACATGTATATGCAGAAGGGCTGGGACGTTCTTCTTGTACAGAGCAACGTCTTGCACTTCCTATGGCCCCGCTGGGGTCTGGAATACGGCCTGGAGGTTCTCAAAGTCCTGGAGCAGCCACTCTTCTCGGCTCGGCTCATTTTGGTCCATGCCACATCCATCGGGGGCTACACTTTCTCCCAGATGCTCACACACATTGCTCAAGACCCTGAGAGGCATGAGGGGCTGCGGAAGAGGATGCAAGGCCACATCTATGACAGTTTGGTGGTGGGCACTCTGGATCACATGGCTGTAGGTGAGTGAGAGTGGTCAGGCGCTTTCCCATGGGATCAGGTTCCTCATTGAGGCAGGTATTTGTGTCAAAGCTTTAAATAACTTATCAGCTGACCCACTGCCCAACTTAGAACAGAGTACAGAAGACAGTGCAGACTAATTGCCCTTGTATTATTTATTAGAAAATGACAGACCATTATATGATTTTTCTTTTTCTTGTTACAACTCAAAAGGAGGATTTTCTTCTTCTGGGTGGATCATCTAGACTATTGGTCCTCCTAATTGTCAATCATTCTGGTGATATGCATAACACGATTTAAAAGGTGTTTCCTCCTGGTTCTTTCCTAAAATTACTTTATTTAAATTACCTCTAAAATAATTTTCAGGACACTCAAAGACATTTCACATGTAATTTCACTCCATACACAGTGGTGATAAACTACTACTGTAGCCACACCTGCCCTGACAGAAGCGAGACAACCAGTAAAATCCATCAGCCCCCCCCGACCACCACCAATCATCACACACACCAGACTGATTCTAGGAAATGTGGGTGAAGTGTCTTGCCTTAGGACGCTTTACAGCCACAGCTGCCCCACTGCGGCACCTGGTGGTCCCAGAGGTCTCCCATCACAGTACTAACCAGGCCCAGCCCTGCACAAATTCTGACGGAATCTGGCTTTCACATGCAAGTATGGCCACATATTACTAATAATACTAGTAATAGGATAAAGGCTACATGATAATCCATTTAAACGTGGATTTGAAGCTAGAGGCCAGTGCATGTTACAACAATAGTTTGGTACAATATAAAACGCATCAAAAGGTTTGTGAGAAATTGGTACTACTAAGTTCCTTCTTGCATATTGGAAGAATTGCCCTACTTTTCTAATAGTAGCAGGAGAACAAATTATTTATGTGGAGGAAAAATACACATAGTTTAACATAAGTATTTAATTGAAGGAGATTGAATACATTACAACATATCAATCAATCAATTTATTTAGCTGCACAAACATTTGTAAGACACCTGTAAACATATGCATGGTTTGAACATACACACAAAGGGTTAACATTGCATAACAATAGTTAAAACAATTGGCATATACACACACACAAAGGGGAAAACTCTTTTATTTCAAGATAGACTGTCCCAGGCTTTACTTTCCCACATGTTCTAATCTCCATTTGGCTCTGCTTACTGTTATGAGAACCCCTAAAAAACGACTAGTTTTGTATTTATTTATTTATATAATCAAACAGTTTACTTTTTTGATGAAACAATAAATCTTAAATGTGAGCCCAGATCACGTTTGCACTCCGACTGAAAGTAGAAACTGTCCTTTGAACAGCGACAGTAAAGTTTCACATTCCTACGGATTAGAAAAGGTTGAACGGTCACTAATAATGGCCTTCACGGAGGTCATACATCGCCTGAAAATAAATTATAATCCTGCATAATTTTAGAAATGCATCATCATCTAACATGTACAACTAATGTTATATTATGACTAATAACAGAAAAGATTACAGTCCCTCATTGAATACATAGGGACGACATGGTGGCTGAGTGGCCTGGGTTCGAATCCTGGTCGGAACAGGGCTTTTCTGAGTGGAGTTTGCATGTTCTCCCTGTGACTGCGTAGGTTTCCTCCAGCTCCTTCGGATTTCCCTATACCGCTAAAAAAAACATGCCCAATAGGTTTGAATGTAACAGGTGATTGGATGGCGCTCCCGTTTTACCAGTGTGGAGAGATTGGGAAAAACACAAAAATCTGAACTCTGAACTTTTTGAAGTGCTTTGGATGACATTGCTCTGTAAAATGCGCTATATATATAATTATTACTTACTAAATACCACAAAACTTTGAAACTTTTATTTGTTTCATTTGTTTCATTGTTTTTTTATTTATTTATTTATTTTTTATTATTTTTTATTTTAAATCGGATAACTAGTATTTTATCGTTTTTATCGCATGTTTTTTTAGTTCATTGGTATTTTATTGTTTTTATTACATTTATATTGTTTTTACTTACGTGCATGTTTAAATGTGTTGATTTTATCTCTGTGCAGCACTTTGGAAACTTGTTTTATAAAATGTGCTATACAAATAAAGTAGATTGGATTGGAAAATAATTGCAGTGTAAGTTGTAGACATTATACAGATTCTGAATGATAGTAGTGTGCCTGAGGTCATTCTGGTCTGAGCACATTAAAGGCCGTGTTTACACTTGGATCCTGGTAATACAGGTTTGTAGACTTGTTGGTTTAGTTTACGGGGACCATAAAGTGAACGTGTACATTTACATTTGATGTGAGATAAGTTTGAGAGTTAACCCAGGGATCGAATCGTTTCTTTATCTTCCACCTTTTTCTTTTACCGTTATGTGCTTTTCATTGGCTTTGTGTCACTTTTATCGGTTTGGGACCTTTGGGTTAGGATTTCAAAAGTATCAAATCAGATATAAATGAATATGAAAACTTTTTGATCTGATAAATATACAAATACATTAGAAGTACTTTGATGTTATTTATGTGAAATCTTTTGTAATTTTAGTAATTGTTGTGGACAAACATGCTGTCTTTCGTTTGTACAGTGCCTTGCGAAAGTATTCGGCCCCCTTGAACCTTTCAACATTTCGCCACATTTCAGGCTTTTTTTTCCAAGAATCAACAACAAGTGGGACACAATCGTGAAGTGGAACGAAATTTATTGGATAATTTAAACCTTTTTAACAAATAAAAAACTGAAAAGTGGGGCGTGCAATATTATTCGGCCCCCTTGCGCTAATACTTTGTAGCGCCACCTTTTGCTGCAATTACAGCTGCAAGTCGCTTGGGGTGTGTCTATATCAGTTTTGCACATCGAGAGACTGGAATACTTGCCCATTCTTCCTTGCAAAACAGCTCGAGCTCAGTGAGGTTGGATGGAGAGCGTTTGTGAACAGCAGTCTTCAGCTCTTTCCACAGATTCTCGATTGGATTCAGGTCTGGACTTTGACTTGGCCATTCTAACACCTGGATACGTCTATTTGTGAACCATTCCATTGTAGATTTGGCTTTTTGTTTCGGATCATTGTTCTGTTGGAAGATAAATCTCCGTCCCAGTCTCAGGTCTTTTGCAGACTCCAACAGGTTTTCTTCCAGAATGGTCCTGTATTTGGCTCCATCCATCTTCCCATCAATTTTAGCCATCTTCCCTGTCCCTGCTGAAGAAAAGCAGGCCCAAACCATGATGCTGCCACCACCATGTTTGACAGTGGGGATGGTGTGTTCAGGGGGATGAGCTGTGTTGCTTTTACGCCAAACATATTGTTTTGCATTGTGGCCAAAAAGTTCGATTTTGGTTTCATCTGACCAGAGCACCTTCTTCTTTATTTATTAAAAAAGTTTAAATTATCCAATAAATTTTGTTCCACTTCACGATTGTGTCCCACTTGTTGTTGATTCATGACAAAAAAATTTTTTATGTTTGAAGCCTGAAATGTGGCGAAATGTTGAAAGGTTCAAAGGGCCGAATACTTTCGCAAGGCACTGTATATGTAGAAAGCCCTGTGAGTCACTATTTGACCCTGTGGGCTGGGTTGGCTGAGTGAGGGTGGTTCTCTCTTTTTCCTGAAGTCACATCTTTAGATCTTTGGATTGGAATTAACTTTTTCAGGAAAAAAGAGGACCATCCTCACAAAGCCAACAAGTGATGGAACCAGCAAGGAACTAGTTACATGAATTTGATAACTTTTTACTTTCTGTTTGCGGTTTGAAAGTAAGGTGCCTGAGCTTTGTCAGGGCGGCACAACAGTTAGAGCTTGTGTTTCACGGCAAGAAGATCCTGGGTTCGATTACACCTCCAGGCCTTCCTGTGAGGAGTTTGCATGATTCTCCCTGTGTCTGCATAGGTTTCTGTAACACTAAAAACATGTACAATGGGTATCAATCGGTAACTCTGAACAATTATAAAGCGCTTTGGGTGACCTTGGTCTGTAAAATGCGCTATGTAGAAAAACATTATTTACTTACCACTACTACTTGTTCATACACTTTTTTATCAACTACCCATGATTATTCTAGGTGGCACATTTGTTCTTGCTTGATTGTTTTTCTTGTCTGTGTGCAGGTCTGGGCAAAACCCTGGTGCCGTGGTTAGAGGGTTTGGTGAAAAACGCAGCGTTGCTGTACTTCTGGCTGTTTAAGTCTCAGACCGTAGACATCTACAATCGCGGCCTCCAGATTTTCCACAGCCCTCCCATCACCACACCAGCGCTCTTCTTCTACTGTGAGGACGATGCGCTGTGTGACGTGCTGATGCTGGAGCAGGTGGTGGAGCAGTGGCGGAGGAGGGGCGTGGCTGTGCAAAGCAGGAAGTGGAAGAGGTCTATACACGCTGCACACATGAGGACACATCCACAAGACTATCTGACATCACTGGAAACCTTTTTGAGCTCGCTGCACGGCTGTTACGTTAAAACTTAAACCATTCATGCAAAGGTTCAAATGTAACAAACGACTGACAATATAAAGATGTGTCATATACTATATTTATTTAACCAGTGGTGGTGGAGATGGGAGAGGACGACGGGACCATAGAATGGAGTGTATGAATAGTGACTTCAGTGTCAGACTGCAAAAAAGTGACAAAAAAGGTAAAACATTGCTCAAATTTGGCAAAATGTAGCTTAATTTGAGCACATTTTTGACTGCCTTTATGGTACATGGTGTATATGATCTATAGCGTTGAGATCATATATTGTAGTCTACTACTGCCACCAGCACTACGGAAGCTTTCAAGGACAATATGTCGTCTTTGACAGTGGTACCCAACCAGGGAAAGATTATTTTTATTATTATCATTGTTTTGAACTACTGTAGGTCTATGTATACTCCTTCTGCTTGTTCATTGCTGTCTTGCTGTAATATTAACAATGAATTACCTTCTACCTTATGTAGCACATCAACTGCAAATCCTTGGGAAATGCTTTATGCACAATTTAATAAAGATATATTTATCATAAACACGGTGTGGTGTGGAAGTGTGTTTAAACAGCAGAACAACATAGTATGCACAACATAAGACACTTAGCAGTCTAACTCCCTGAGTTCACATAAATGTTGTTTTTTCATATACACTAAAATACTAATTTGGTTTTGGTAGCACTTTAAAGTATATTAATGATACATGAGTTCGTGCATGATTCTCATGAACTAATGCATGAATTAATTTATTAGTTCATGATACATTCATGCATTACTAGATCATGAATTCTCATGAACTAACATGATTACATGACTTCATCCATGAATTAATGTTTGAACTACTGTAATGAATTTACATGAAAATCCTAAAGAATCATCATGATCATGATGATATCATGAATTTACTGAAAAAGCAATGAAATTACCAAAAATCATCATCATCATCATTCTATCATGATGCTCATGATCATGTATGAACATCATGAGTCATATGGCGGAAATCTACAAATTGTGACGACACAATCATGAACTTATCATTAGCTAATTCTTAATACATCATGATTTCATTATATTTGCTAATGCTTAATACATCATGATTTCATTATATTTGCTAATGCTTAATACAGCATTATTTCATTATGATTGTGTCCCCTCAACCAAAGTGAAGCTATGATTTATGGGTTGTTCCTTCAAATTGTAAAAAAAAAAAAATGAAATCATGATGTATTAAGCATTAGCTAATGATAAGTTCATGATTGTGTCGTCATAATTTGCAGGTAGATTTCCGCCATATGACTCATGATGTTCATACATGATCATGAGCATCATGATAGGTTGATGATGATGATGATTTTTTTGGTAATTTCATTGCTTTTTCAGTAAATTCATGATCATGATGATTCTTTAAGATTTTCATGTAAATTCATTACAGTAGTTCAACCATTAATTCATGGATGAAGTCATCCATGAACCAACATGTAATCACGTTAGTTCATGAGAATTCATAATCTAGTAATGCATGAATGTATCATGAACTAACGCTTTAATTCATGCATTAGTTCATGCATTAGTTCACGAGAATCATGCATGTACTCATGTGCCATTAATATAAAGTGTTACCTTGGTTTTTTAAACTTTTGACCAATCAGACAGTTTTGTGTACAAGCTATCTTTTCTTTAGAACAGCCAAACTACAAACAGTTATGTTTTAAAACAACCTACTGGTCATTACTCAAAGCTCACGACCATAGGTTGAGACTGCGAATACAAGCAGTCGAAATGAACTTCCTCCGCAGAGTGGCTGAGCGCTACTGTAGAGATAGGGCGAGGCGCTTAGTCACATGGAAGGAGCTCGGAGTAGAGCCGCTGCTTCTCGACATTGAGAGAAGCCAGTTGAGGTGGCTTGGGCAGCTATTTCAGACGCCTGTTCTAGGCGGCATCCCTGGGAAGGTGTTCCCCGGGAGAAAAGGGTCTCCAGCTGACCTGGGAACGTCTCGGATTCTCCCTGATGAGCTGGATGATGTGTGTGTGGAGAGGGAGGTCTGTGTGCTGACCCCGGGACCCGGTTATGACCACTGGAGCTGACCACCACCGATCAATCAATCAACTTTTATTTGTAGAGCGCTTTTTCTAGACAAGGCAACACAAAGTGCCTCACAACCCATATCACATCAAGTATAAATCATAAATAGTAAAAAATACAATTCAAAAGATTCATGCACACAGCAGACCCATAGACAATGTGGGTGTCTTGCTTAATTAGGACACAACAGAGGTCTCCCTTTGCAGTACTATCTGTTAATGCTGTTAAAAAAGAAAGCAATGTGTTTTGAGATGTAGCTTTAAAATACATCAACTGAAATAATAACAGTGCATTGTGCAAATGCATTATATTTTGAAACCTGCTTAAACATTTATGATGTAATAAAGTAGTTTGTTTATGACAGTGTAACAAAACAACGTTTTTTTGCACAATTTATTCAGCATGTTTTGAGTCTATTTTATCTCTCTGTTCAACATTTAACCAGGTCAATCGAGAACCATTAATCATTTTCAATGACGACCTGGCCTGTGAACCAACACATGATGGTCTGAATTTAAATATCAAATATCATTAATTCCTGAGAATTTAATGAAGATCCCTGTATATACAATGGTTAACATTTCGCTCAGACGGTGGTATAAAAGAGATAAGTAAAACTTCCTGCACGCAAAAAATAAATAAATAATAATAATCTAAAAAAAACACACAAAAACGTAAATGATCAGCAAACGTCACATATTTCTTTGCATTTTGAGCGTTCTGTTGCACTTTTACAGCTGTCCACTAGAGGGCTTCTGCACTCAATTATCCAGTTCAACGACTCGTAACAGCGCGCCTCTGTTTCCTATTATCAGGTGTTGGACGGGGTTCTTCCAGACGAACACGGATTACAACTCTCCAGCTTTTATATCGCCATCAGATTTATGTTTGCTTTAATTATATACAGACATTTCAAAATCACATAACACATGTGTGTGAATGCACTATTATTAGGACAGAATCCGATCAGATTCATTATACAACACATTGTTGTACTTGTGGAGCGGTGTTGTGGAAAGAACTGCCCCCAGTTTGTAGTGTGATTATGTTAATATTGTTTTAACTTTATGTATTACAGATGATATGTGTTTTTTCATCCAAAAAGGGTTGAACACATTTGCATGCAACAATAACATAATTTCATAATTTTAGTTCTTTTGAAACATACATAGGACATCGTTGGAATGTTTTAAGACTCGTCTTAAGACACATTTTACTCTCTGGCTTTTAACACTGCGTGAGTTTTATCACTCTTTTTATATGTTTTATTTAATCTATTTTTTTTAGTTTGACTTTTTTAATCGCAAAGCAGGTACTTTGTTGTTTTTATTACATTTGTATTGTTTTTACTTAGTGCATAATGTTTTACTTTTATTTTTTAAACTTATAAAGCTAGTAAACATCAAGTATAGTGAATATACAGTGTATACATGTGTCGATTCTATCTCTGTGCAGCACTTTGGAAACTTGTGTTATAAAATGTGCCAAATAAATAAATAGGATTGGATTAGATTGGATACACTGCATAATGAAATATCACAAACTTTCTATTGTTTTAATAAAGTGAATTGATTGAATACATACATACGGTAGAGTCAGATTCCAACAAAAGAAGCTAGTGCCGTTCAAGTACCTGACATCGCGCAGATGAAGGCAAAAGTCTACCGTCAAAACATTTCAGGTAATTGAGGGGTTATGTAGCTCGCGAAAATTCAATTTGGTAGACGTCAGCAAAAGCTACCCCCTCCAGGCCGGTTCGCTTCCCCAGCCTATCGCTCGGCAAACGCCCCCTTCCAATCATCCGTGCCGGACAGGCAGCCGCTTAAAAGCGGAGCAACTCTCACTCTGCCTTCTCGAAGCCTCGCAAGCTCCTGAAGCCTTGCAGAGAATCGTCTGGAGGAATCGTTTTCGTCTACTCACGCTACTCGTGCGCGTCCCTGGCGTCCTCCGTCTGGCTGCTTGTGGTCTGCTCCTCCTTCGCGTCCCTGCACTGGTCTGCTCCTCCTCCGCGTCCCTGCACTGGTCTGCTCCTCCTCCGCGTCCCTGCACTGGTCTGCTCCTCTTCCACGTCCCTGCACCTGCTGTGGTTCGCATGTCTTCACTGCTCTCCTCCTCTGCGGGCTCTTTCTGCGGGCTGCTCCGCGGGGCCCTCCGCGGGTTTCTGTGCGGCTCGTTCCTCGTGGTCTGCTGCCGCACGCAGAAGGTCTGGCGGTGCCGTGCGTGTCCCTGCCTCGATTGGCGGTGCCGCGTTGTCCCGTTGCTTTTCCCGAGTCTCCTGGCATGTGAGTACAGTGAGTGTGCTGACCGCGGACAGATTAATCCCGGAGTTCTGGGCTGCAGGCGATTGGTTTTTGCCCTACGCACTTGACTGCAGGCGCCGGTTTTTTTTCGCCCCGAGCTTGGTCTGCAGGCTCCGTTTTCACACGTGTCTGAGCTAACCGAGGGGCAATGCATATTAAATGGCATCAATCTCTATCGTCTGAGGGATATACGAGGAGCTATGTGCATTAATTCAGATCATGTTCTGCCACTTGCAGTAAAACCATGCATTAAATAGCTAGGTCGCTGGTATTAAATTAGGTAACTAACTGCAGTGTTGCATTTTGAAAGTGCAGCAGGAAGAAAAAGGGCCGAACGTGAATCTGCAATGGGTGTGAAGTAGCGTTGGGGCTATGAACGCATGGATCAGTGATCGTTCATGCGCATCTGCCATAACCAAAGCAGAAGATGGCTCCAGGGGACGTCTGTTATTCGCATGGGAATGTTTCGGATTCGGGTTGATTTATTCCCTCAGGCTCTTAAACAACCGTGGGTTGGTTCTCTGACCGCCGCTGCTGCCGGTCCCCGCTGCCGTTCCTACTGATGCCTGATCCCGCCGCTGCTGTTCCTGCTGCCGCTCCTGCTGCTGCCTGTTCCT